GATCATCAACATAGATCAGAACTTGCAGATGGACAGAACCACGATGCAGTGTAAAAAGAGAGTAGTCGTGATAGGATTGACAAAAACCATACTGCTTCAAAGTCGTAGTCAACTTGTCAAACCAGCAGCGGGGGGCCTGTTTCAAGCCATAGAGGGAACGACGAAGACGACAAGCTTGCCCATCAACGCCAGAACGAAAACTAGGAGGAAACTTCATGTAAACTTCCTCAGCCAAATCACCATGAAGAAAAGCATTGTGAACATCCATCTGGTGAACTTCCCAATGCTTAGCAGCAACGATAGCCAAGAAAGACCGGACTGTAACCGTTTTGGCAACGGGAGCAAACGTCTCGTGATAGTCAAGGCCTTCCACCTGATTATTGCCCAAAATCACCAGACGCTTTTTATAGCGCTCAACAGAACCGTCAGACTTATGCTTGATCTTAAAGACCCACTTGCACCCAATCGCACGCTTCCCAGATGGAAGAGAAACTACATCCCATGTGCCATTATTCTCCAAGGCACGAATCTCATCCTGCATAGCGGCTCGTCATCGAGGATCAGTCACGGCATCAGCAAAAGTGCGAGGCTCAACAACAGAGGCGATAGCAGCCAAAAAGGTTCGATGAGCTGGAGAGAATGAATCACAAGAAACATAATGTGCTATGGGATAAGGTGTACCGGAGGATGAAGACGACTGGGGAGAAACAGTGGGGGGTTCACTTGAGGGCCGGACAGTATCAACCACAAAGTCCTTCAGCCGAGTGGAAGGAACTTTAGTTCGATGACCACGACCCAAGGGCTCCACTGAAAGAGTGGGAGGGGTAGTGGTAACGGAACCCCCCCTATCGTCAGACATGTCCATATCAGTAGCAGAAGACCCAGTATTAGGAGAAACATGAGGCAAAGGAACAACCGGAAGATCCTCATCATCATTCGGCGTATAAGACACGGGCACAATAAGAGGCGGTGGCAAAGAATCTGGCTCAGACGAGTCTGACTGGTATGGGAATTCAGCCTCAAGAAACTCTACATCACGAGAGACAAAGAAAATCTGACGATCCAAATCATACAAATTGCACCCCTTTTTGCCAAAAGGATAACCAACAAATAGACAACGACGACTTCGAGCTGCAAACTTGTCACCATTACGATCTTGGTTATGAGCATAGCAAAGGCAACCAAAAACCCGCAAATGAGACAAAGAAGGAGCTGGACCATAAAGAATCTCATATGGGGTTTTACCATGTAAAACCGATGAAGGAGTCCGATTGATCAAATAGACCGCAGTCAAAACACAATGACCCCAAAAAAGGAAGAGGCAAATGAGCCTGAAAACGCAAAGCTCGAGCTACATTGAGAATATGCTGATGTTTGCGTTCTACACGCCCATTCTGCTGAGGAGTGCCTACACAAGAAGTCTCATGCACAATTCCTTGACGACGAAAATAAGAGGCCAAACACATGAACTCACTTCCATTATCACTACGAACAACACGCACCAATTTATCAAATTGTCGCTTAATCATAGAAAAAAAAATCAGCAATGTGGAAGCAACCTCCGTCTTATCATTCAATAAATAAACCCATGTTCCAAGTGAACAATCATCCACAATAGTAAAAAATATCGTGCACCACAGAAGGACGGAACACGATACGGACCCCACAAATCACAATGAATCAAATAAAAAATCTCGTGACTAACAGTCTGACTGAGAGGAAAACTACGACGATGTTGTTTAGCACGAAAACAAGCATCACACGATCTATGCAAATTACGAGAACTAGAGTCAATAACACGAACCTGAGACAATACTTGAGCAGACGGATGACCCAAACGTTGATGCCACACATCGGCAGAAACCTTCCGAACACATGAAACTGCCATAGAAACCGTTTCTCGAAAGAAGTATAGACCTCCCAACTGCTCACCTACACCAATTACCTTCTGCGAATTGTGGTCCCGAATAACACAAGATTTGTTAGTAAACTGAGCGGTGCAGCCAGAACGATCCAACAATTGATATAATGAAATCAAGCTGCATCGAAGGCTGGGAACGTATAAAACATCATAAAGAGTGATATGAGATCCCAGATAAACACTCCCAGCCTTACTAGCCATAGTCAACGAACCATTAGGCAATTGAACCGGACGGGCGGGAATATCCCGAACATCGGAAATAAACTCCAAGAACCCTGTCATATGATGAGTTGCTCCGCAATCGTACATCCAATTAAATAAATGACGCGTACCAAACAAGGGATTATTTTGTTTACCAGTGGAAGAACCAACAAAACCTGCAACAAAGAAATTATCGATACTATTGGAGAACGCAGCATTGGCACGAGCATCACTCTCGCCGCATGCTCTACCACGGAAGCTACTGCAAGAATTACAACTACGACCACAACTGTAACTGAACCATTTCGGATATCCAATATCCTCAAAGCAAGTAGAGGCAAGTTGACCCATTCGACCACAATTAGAACACTTGGGACAACCACCAACATAGTGCCCAGTAAGTTCGGCACTACCTTCGGCCGTACCTGATGTGACCGATGTCGAAGAATCTGTCATGGATCTTCTGTTACGAGGAACTGCAGAGAGCGGAGATCAGATGCCAGAGACACGAACAAGATATCGAACAAACAACATTCGACGCGAGGGGCCTGTGTTGTAGAGAATTTAACACTTTTTTTTTTTGGCGCCGATATGCGACAACACTCTGGATAAGGCTGGACAATTCACACAATTGATTCACGGCAATTCGGATAATTCACACCAAATGGATCAAACAATTTGTATAACGATTTGAATTAACAATTTGCATAATTCACAACAATTGATTCACGTGAATTTGGACAATTGGACGTGAATTATAAATTGACA